TTCTGGCAAGAGTAAACTGCAAAATTCGCACTGGCAAGAGTACTACTCCCCTTTCAATAATTATAATTCTTTTGAAGTAGCTACATGTACATGTACATGATTGTGCCGTGTGTGAATGTACACGATAGCGAGTACTTGTAAGTCTGTAAGTAAGAATGTGTTACAGTATGTTCAATAGACTATATATAGGGGAATCCTTAGATAAATAAATACAATACATTACAATACAATACACTACTAGAGAACTCAGCGCACTTTGACAATCCCGGGACTGCTTGTACTTGAAGTATGGTACAACACAAGAATCATAATGTTGTGTGGTGATCGTAGAGTCTTGTTTCAAGACCTGTGATGTCACTTCAGAATCCACATGCTGCTTCCTTTTCACTTAATTTCACTGTTTCAGGATGTGTGCCGGGCCATACAGAGTACGGCACTAGTAACGTCGTTAAATATTTTGTATGGACGTTCTGCAGTGTTGATGAACTAATACTTGATGTTCCTATTTGGTTGGCCTCAGTGGATGTGCATGTACATGTACTTGGTCAGGTCTTTACTTATCTACGTACATGTACATGACACACTTGAGAGGGATGAAAAGCGTTTCTACTGTAACTCTGAGTTTCACGGTTTTAACCGATCATCAGACAGCAGTACATGTATATTTACGTGTGGACTACGTCGTGCCGAAAGGAGTCGGACCACGCAGCAGCAGTAGCCAGTTAGTTACACGTATTATTAATTTTAACTGGACTCTGCCAGTGGTCCAGGCTATGGATCTCTTTGCGCCATTACTATTTGGCCTAGGCGGGCCTCTATTGTTGACGTTGTTGTTGGCGTTTGTCTCTCCCCTCCACTGCTTTGCTTTGCGAACGGAGAAATTCCCGAAGTCATCTTCCAAAAACTCGCGCGTTGTCTGTTTGTGTCTGTACTGTTGTCGTGTATTTCTGTAACACAACAACGGTCGGGTTTAACGGTAAACTTTTCACTTTCGTCGGGTTTAGCCTCGTAGGACTAGGACTAAATCAACTGAACATGACTTTGTACCAGTACATGTACCAGGAGTACGTTGATCCCACCTTTCACCGGGCAAACATGCAGTGAGCTACATGTAAAACCAAGCCCCACTCTTTTTTGGGCCAATCCACAGTGTTTTGGCACCCTGGTAGATTTTTTACATTGTATTTATTTGTTTACTTCTACACCTCGTGGCATGTCAAGACAGGCAATTGAATTGAGGAGAGGGTGAGACCAAACACAGAAGAAGAGAAAATTGAGCCCTCTACGGACGGTGGATGAACGGCACATGAAGAGAAAAAGAAAATGAAAATAAAAAATAAAAGCACGTCCACAAAAGGCGAAGGGATTGGTTGTGAATAGAAGATTGAGTATGGTTGCAACTTTTGTATAAATTATGCTAGTATTCGAATGTTTTCGCTTCCTGGTACATGTAATGAATAAAAATGGAGATATTTGACTCTTGATACCTTCGTGCCCATCTACAATGTACATGTTCATACTGTTCCTTGAAAGGCTTGTTATTGTAGCAATCATCATGGTCAGTGTCGCCAATACTCCTTAGCACATGTATTCCTCTTTAGAGTCCTTACACACTGACATCACTGCACTGTTTCTCATCGTTTTGCAAAGGCGAGCCAGAGACCATCGCATGGGGATCAGAGGGGAGATCTGTCGCTCACAAGCTGAACCACCGTTCCTCATAATGATTATTACCGTGATGCCAGAAAAGGTTGCGTGATGACATGTACTAGAAGTATGATGTGATTATGAATGTGAGCTTGCGGTCCCGTAATGTAAATATTATTTATTTAAAATTGTTGCAACGACGTGCCTGTACGTGTATTACAGTGCTGGCAACTGAAATCCGACCCCCTGAGCTGTGCGCTCACATCGCAAAGAATGTGAACCCACCGCTCAGGGGTCGGATTTCAGTTGCCAGCACTGTACTTTTAAAACTTTTGTTGTATGTCATTCTGGCAGCAGCTGATCTGATAGAGTGCCTAGAGCCTGAGTAGAGGCTGAATCAAGAGTAAAGTACACGCACCTACTTGTACATGCAATTCCCTACATGCAATTTATACGTACATGTACCTACATGTACATGTAACATACAGTACTAACAATGCATTATGTTATGGCCTACACTGCATGTACCCATGGTAGCATGGTGCATGGCGACAGGTCATGTGTGACGTGATGCAGGTGTACGTGTACCATTAATACTCCTTTCAGTGTAACCTGACTTTAATATGTACAATGACTACGCATTTAAATTTAATCATTGTGCATGACTGAACGTGAAGACTGAAGTCACTCACTCACCATGAATCATGGCTGACAAAAATAGAGTATGAGTCGCAGTGCCTGATCCATATTCCATAGTGATCGAAATCTCTCAATGAGTCATGCACTGGAATCTTTCACCAGGCCCTGCAACAAGAGTTAATTCAGCAGGTAAAGACAGTGCTCGTAGCTAATAAAGTGATATTGATAGAGACTGAATAATAACAAGAGTACCTACATGTAACAATGCATTGGTACATGGTATGGCCTACACTACACTACAGCCTACACTACAGGCTACACTACAGCCTACACTACAGCCTACACTGTACATGTACATGTATGTACATGTACCCATGATCGCATGGTGGTGCATGCCGGCGATGCACATACTACAAAGTACATCTGGTTCCTGTTTTCCTCGCATGAATCCAGCGTAGATCCAGGGTCAGTCGTGTGGTCCTCTATCCTAGGATATTCTATTTTCGTGAATTATTATTATTGTATGTCTTGACATGTTGCAAGGACTTAGCCTTTGGTACGGCGGGATTCTCCGATTCGTTCCGGGTCATCAGCATCGATCGGCTGAACCACCAGTGCCCAGTGACCTGGTGTTGGGGCCGCAGTATACTCTTCATCTCCATAAACAGTCGTTTTGGTGTATACGTAACATAATGTCACTAGCTACATTACATCGGAGTTTCCCCGGCTGAGCCTGCGACTGTGCTGATGACTAGCCATCTTCCTGCATTTTGTACAATGTACAATGACTATGTATGTAGGTCTCAGCTCATATATGATCATGCTCTGCGGCCGACTGTTTTGTCATTCGACGTCATCAGCTCTTGCAGTAGCCGTCAAAGCGCGGATGGATTACCAACTAAACTACAGACAAGCACATGTGCAAGTAAGGGCTAGCTACTAAGGCCTATGTTAACCTAAGAGTTCAGAGGGTTCTACAAATTAGTACAATCATGGCGATGTACATAATACTATAGTAATACTGGATGGACATGGCCCTCAAACGTCGTCGCGGGGCCGGGGATCAAGTCATTATGATGTCAAGCATCTATCTTTAGCTACACTGCATTCGCCTTGGTCATCACCGACCCAGGAAGTCCCCAGTATTGTGTGACGGTTCTACTCTTGCTTGAGTCTTGGTTGTAAACTTACTTGTACAATCATGTACTACACGGATTATCCGTGAGCTAGCTGTGGGGCATTCTCGATTGCTACCGGTCACTCAAACTAACTAACTTGAGTTTTACATACGAACAGAGAACACACAGTACAGGAGGGTGGTGGAATTGCTAACTTCCAGTTTCACGGCAGGTGTTCCCTCTTGTGCACAGCATCTTTGCGTACCTCATGCTACATGTTATGTCATACACTGGTGTCCCTTATCTACCCTTCCAAGAAACATCACGGTATGATGAAGCTGCACTGAACGAGTCTATGTGCTGCTACCTGGGATCAGGGGAATGCTGATTCTACTCCTGGGAGGATTGGAACGCGAAAGCGAGGTTTCTTTTTAGCCAAGTACAGTATTCGGCTCCACTGTTATAGGTGTATGGTGAAAGGTCAACATAATGTTGGACAGTATGCATGCTCCACTTATGCTAGTTTTCGGTTGTACACCGCTCACAGAGTCACAGACCACTGCAAGACGCCCCAAAACATAGCCTATCAACAAGGCCAGGGTCCTCTCTGCAATACTAGTAGTACTACTACTGTATGTAGGCTAGTTCCGGGGTCAACGGTCACACGCTGTGTGTACAGCCACAGGTCCAACATGGCAGAAAAATGCACATTCACGCACAGACTCCGTGAGTGTCCTAACTGAACAAACAACACGACCTACTCAACATGCTGACATACATTGTACATGCTTATAAACACAGAGCAGTTGTCGAGTTGATATTATACACCACCGAATTATAACAGTGCGGTTTTACGCTTTGATCCAGATGTGCCCTCTATAGGACCAAGACAAACATCCCGCAGAAGGTGCTTTGCTTGGAGCGATTCCGCCGGATCACATTTCCACCATATGACGTTGCAAGCAGTTTAATATTATGGCTCCTTGTTCGATATGGGGCAAACAACTGTTGAACTGAGAACTGCCAGAGCCACAGGTTGGTGGTGCTCGAAAACCGCGCGGGCCTACCAAGTGCCGAATCATACGGAGAACAGGCCACGCTTGTAGTTTTCTACAAGTCCACCCAGGTTTAGTAGATGCGCTCGCGATCGCGCCTGCTTCTGACTTCTGGTCGTGGCGATACGACTATGGCGTTGCTGCACCTGCGTGCATTGATGCAGACTGCAGTGCTTGAACGAATCATGAACATGCACGTTCCTGCCAGAGTGCGAGCTGGGCAAAAAACTCCAGTTCGTAGATCTACAGTAGTAGTCAGTACAGAGATTCAGCGTGCCCGCGCTGAGGCGAGCTGTGCAGGAGTTGACATGTCTGGTACGGGGCAGTAGTCTGTCGTCAGAAGTGGACATGTGCCGCGAAGCCGAAGTGCCTCTCTTGTGCCAGTCCCGTGGCCTGGGCAGGTTTGCGGAAGGTGTTGCTGACGTACCAGCTGAATGGGGGCATTCACCATGTGTCACACAACAAGCAACAGTAGCAGCGGGAACGGTGTGGAGTGCTGCAGCTGACACGGTGTATGCGTAATGCCTACTCAATCGCCGTAATTCCCCCCGAGCATACCCCTTCGACCATGGCCTGGGTAAACATCGTCAGGCACCTTTCTGCCTCCATAAAAGAGAAGTCGTCCACACCAGAAGCATCAGTTCAGCGACTAAGCTTGCTTGATAAACAAGAAGTGGCCAAGTCAATAACGCAGCGTCCAGTTACCATTCTCGGCATCTTCCACAGTTCCAGAATAATGGCTCAGTCCCTGTCCGCACTGTTTTCTTCTCCGTCAGTTTTTGACGCAAGAGTCTTGAAGATGCTCTGTTTGATTAGTGCAGTTCTGTGTATATCACTCTCAAGTGGCGCACCAGCCCCAGTTGATGTTGCCTCGCACCTCCGGCAGGCGAGACACGCAGGAAGCAGGGAAGAAAGCTCTAAAGGTGAGTGTCCGGATCTGTACACTGATTTCATGTTTTAAGGCGTTTTAGTCATACTACCCATTAGTACATGCCCCCCCCCCCCCCACACACACATACATACACAGAGATGTCATTCACAGACGCCACCTCCGATTTCATTGGGACTTTCCCTATCCAACATTATGAGTGTACTGCATTTTGGACAGTACTGTACCTTTGAAAATGTACATGTGCCCAAGCACGAGTTGATAATAGTGTGCAAGAAAAAGAGGTATTCCTCCAAAGAATTAGATTAAATTTGGGTCTCAAGCAGTTACATGATTGTACCTATGATTGTACCTACATAATAATATCTGAATATCGAATAGAAAAAAACCCTTCCGCGCTGCGTCCATTTAGTAGTGGTCATGATTACAAGAACCCAAGTGGACATGAGTCATGCCTTGTATTTACACATGACTGTACATGCATGTATGATATCATCCACAGCACGCGATATCGAATTTGCACGCTGAGTGGAAGCCAGGACATGTACTGTAGAGTGTAGTGTACTAGTTGACAATACTGTACTACATGTACATGTACTACTAGGCTAAGCATTGTATGTTCACAATCACAACAGTCAACAGTCAACAGGTGCGCCGATCTCAATACAGAATAATTATAGTGCAATGTACTTGGACCTCCAACTAAGTGTTACTTACTTACACATCATGTACATGTACATGACTAACGTAGTACAGCATTTACTGGATAAAGAGACAGCATTACTGTAGTCCGATCATTACTACATTAGATAGTGCCTGGACTGCTGGAGCAGCTGATGGTACATAGTCATTGATGACTAACAGGGTAGTTATGCAGAATTGTAGGCTGCCGACGAAAGCTGAGCCATTTCAAGTGACTCCGCTTATACCGGGGCAGGGGCCCCATCGTGAGTGTAATACTAGTAGTAATACAGTAGTGCATCCTGACTCGATCCCAGAACGTTTCTGCAACGCGCGGCATGGAAGTGTTGCACAAAGCCAGGTTTCTTGAGACCCGCTGAACCATCCAGGCCTGGGCCATGATGTGACGGCATGACATGATTGACATCGCAGCGCAAACTTTGCTGTCTTTGTTTACTCTGCGCACGTCGACACTGTGAGATATGGCGCCGCATGAAGTCCTGCGGTTTACGATCAACTTTGCTACATCAGCCAGAAATGCGCGCCAGTACCGGGTCGGCATGACAAAGTCAGATTACTGGGACAATTCGAATACTGCACTGCACTGTCATGTAGCATGCAACGTGATCTGCGATGATTGCTGCCAGTACTGTATTCATGGTGAACAGTTTTGTCCATGAAAATCATTGAAATCCAAGCACAGTATCATAATTGTGCCGCTGTGCGCATTAGAGAGATGTTGAGGCACCATCGTAGTACAGTGTAGCATGGAACTCTGCACCATGACATTGTGGTATTTCGGACCACTGGATAAAGTGTAGCCAGGTCATGTGAGATAGAATGATCGAGCAGAAAGGGATTTCTTGCTCATTTGGACATGAAGAAATACTGTGGATCGGTGATCTGATATTATGTCGAGCTGCATCGCAACTCCTTCCAGACTGCTAATCACCACCATGGGAGAAACGTGCCTTCACAAATGCAGCAACACTAGTGGCCAATAGCTAGACTGCGTGCGTGTAATCGCCATGTAGCCTGGGGCGGGTAGGAGCAGAGAAACATGTATGGCAATGGCTGCAGATAAACCATGCTGACCTAGTACAGAGACTACGCGTTGCAGGAGCGCTTTAGAATACGTGATATTTGCGCAACTGGAATCGCCCGCGGCTGTTCCTGTTGTCAACTTTGACAAGCAAGTGACAGGCCCGTGACACGACGACCAACCGAAAAACAAGTCAGCCTGTCCATTTGTCCCAAGTGGTTAGGTGTGTGGAGTGAAGCTTTGACAGTAACTTCTGATCTCTACTATTCCCAAGGAATGTCTTGCTGATTTTGCAACCTCCAGTTGTCCCAAATATTCCCGACCACCCACCCACCCTTCGTGTGTACACAAGACGTGGGAACTTAGAAAAAACAAAAAATCATTTTGATTGCACGCTTCCAGCAATGGTATGTTGGGAAAAGATCGCTGAGCAGAAAAGAAGCAGAGACGAATGGTGTCTAAGATACTCCAGGCTGTCCCTAGCCGGCATTTGTGCCTGCCTGGCTCCTCTGCACTGTCTGTCTGGGCTTGTCTGGTTGCAGCCACGTTGCTTGAAGATCTTACAAGTTACATGTACTCAACAGGTCTGCCCTTCTACATGTATGTGTTCTTTTCCAACACATTCAGGAACCATCAGTTGCAACATCTCCAGCGATGGAGTCGTACGAGTTCGCGAGGGAGAAGACTTCTTCCATATCTCATGCAGTCTCTCTGGCTTCCAGGGCAATATCAAAGTCGTCGCGACGGAAGGAACAGTAAGTTTCATCAATACTTTCGTAATACTTTGCTTGTGACAACGATATGGAATGTAGCTCGCACCGGCATTACATGTATTTGGCTATGTTCTAGTAATTTAAAATACAGTTGAGTTACACACGTTTACTTTTTGTTTCCTTTCCTTCTTTCCAGGTGGTTGCCGACCAGTCAGACCTAAGACCATCGACAGAAACACGCCAGCTTCTTGTGCAGTATGCCAGTCAAGCAGAAAGCCTCCAGGGGAGGTGTCTCAATGTGATCAGTGACGGGCTGACGACGGGATTCTGCTTTGATGTGGCAATCATCGGTGAGTTACAAAGGACAAGAGAGAAATGCAGTACTGTTGAGCCAGTTGACATTGCCCATGCATACACCTAATACTTGACTCGCCCATTGCTGATTTTTATCTCCGAGGGAACTATTCCAGTACTCATTGTGCATTGTGTGTGTTTGCCTTACTGTCTTCTTTTAGCCAAGTGTAAATCCATCAGTCGAGCAGTGGATGGCGAGAGGGGTCTGCGGGCCATCAGTTCGCTTGCTGAGAGCCAGTACGCCGGCGACTCGGTGCTCCTCTCCTGCAGCCACGACCACTACATGCTGGGTAGCTCCGAGCTGCGCTGCGAGGAATCCGGCCAGTGGTCTGAATCTCTGCCGCGATGCATGCGTAAGTTTACCTCTTCACCACAAACCAGCAGCTATGGTTTAGCTGAACTTAATGATGCGCATACCACACGTCAGACTCAAAGTTTGGCTTCCATAGCCATTATGGATTGGAAAATGCGAAGCACTCTCAAGTTAATACCACCTGATATGTACACTAGAATGTGTAAGGATGTGTAAGGATGTGTAGCTTACCCTATCCGAGCCATGCGTGTATGTGCAGAATAGCTAGTCTGGCAAGCATGATTTGGACAACTTCTTATAGTGACAAATACCATCTGAAGCAGTTGCCTATTGCAAATCATTCACCCATATGTTCATTGTTGTGCTGTTACTATATTGCTGCAGCTAAGACTTGGAACGGGATTCGGTTGAACAACACTCTCATTCCGTCCAGCGGCAAGCCCTATGTCATTCAAGCTGCACAGACGGCACAGCCCACTTTTGTCCAATGCGCCGCCGCTGGTGTACCCAACTCTGAGCTAGTCGTCAAGCTGTTCGTCAACTCCGTCTTGACGTACAATACGCGCAAGCCGTGCGGAACGGGCCCGGTCTGTCGTGCAGAAGCAGCATCGACGGTCATGCTCAAGGCCGGCGATACGCTCGAGTGCAAGGCCACGCGCACAGTCTCCATGGGCCAAAATGGAGAGAAAGCCAAGGAGGAATCACATCTAGTCGTCCAAGTTGAAGGTGAGTTCCTCCTCATAACTGTATCTCCATTCATGCATACCTGTGTTGGTCATGTGGACAAGATCAGCAAAGAAACTGAGAAATTCTTTCACAAATTTAAGAAGTGCCTACATTTGGAGTGAACAGAAAGAGTTTTCATCGGCACCTTTTAAAATGGACTTTGTATCAGACACAACGTCAAAGAAGACACTGTCAAAGAAGGCGAAAGCTGCTGCATTGAATCACATAACTCTTGATTAAACACAGACACTTCTCATTAGTTTGGGACTGATCGCTACATGGGATGTTTTGAGGCAAGCAAATGAAACTGTTCGTTCGGACACAAGACGCCTTTGGTAACCAATGCCTCTAATCGAGAGAGAGAGAGAGAGAGAGAGAGAGAGAGAGAGAGAGAGTAAAAATATATCCAGTGGATTCCTAGCTGAGACGCAAACTAATATTAACTGTTCCTATCTCTTTTGTGTCTTTATTCATTTCAGGAAAGTGAAGCATGAACTATTTGCACAGCTTCAAACGGTGACGTCGTTCATCCAAACCTGGTTCTCATCGCTAGCCTCAGATCGTATCTATGCTTTAAGTAGATTTCATATATACTTTATCAGATTATTCTTTCACTGACTGCTCTATCTATCGTGTACAACCATCATTGATTTTCAGTAGAGGAACATGTAATATCTATCTTCAGAGCAATTTTCCGGATGCATCGCTCATCGTTAGCCCATCCTCTATCAGAACATTGACCAAAACGTTGACACAACACAGATATGTTTTATTCAGCCGTAGTAAGTTATAGAAATCTCCGCCGCCGCTACTGCTAGGGTTTGGGCACCACCACTAACTCCTACCCGCATTGCCACCCCTTGAGATGCAAGTCGAACACAGTAAAGAGTACCTCACTTCATATACATACATGTATGTTATAAACATTTACCGCAACTATTTGATGAAAAACCAACACTTTACTTATCCACCATTCGGTCCTTCCGCCAAGCTTGTTAGAGGTTTATGTACTCTTACTTCGAGTATGCTAACGACCATGACTTGCTCAGCTGCTATCACTTTCTTCACTATACTTATTTATTGTGGCCTTGACTTCGAGTATTTTCGACGCCAATTAATCTGAAATACAATGGAAATGCATCTGCTTCTGTAATACTACATGCTGTTAATGATATACCTTTTGCCATTGGCACAGAACGTGAGAGGCATGATACATACTCGTATTAGTACAGTGCGATGTGGCATGGATACTGTTCGAATGGCTCCAAGAAGGAAAACCCCAGTTTGTCAATGATTTTTTCCTTCTCCAGCCCATATCATAGAATAATTAGAAGTAAGGGTGAACATTTGACTTCACCACCACTAGCATTGAAAGAGAAGGGAGAAGGACAGAGCGTTTTCTTACGTTCTTCTAGTACCCTCACTCCGCTCTTTCGCTCAGAATATGACATTCTTTGGAGCTGGATATCCTCTCAACTGGCCGAAAGCCTGGTTTAGAATACAATAAACACACAGCAGATAGATATCGGTAGATAGATAGATAGATAGATAGATAGATAGATGATGACCTAGCATAGATCATGAATCCAGTTTATCAACCCAGATTCAGCGTCTGAACACACCAGTCGGAACCTGGAGAAAGTACAAATCCTGCCAGTTCCTGGGCACGAGGCGGCACACAGGAGAGCCGACTAGTGTCGGGCTGTACAGCGACGACGGACTGGCCATGCTCAGGACTACTACAGGACACGAGGCAGACTCCATCTGCAAGGCAATCACGAAGCTATTCAAAGACGTTGGCCTACGAATAACCATCAGTACCAGCCAGAGGACAGTGGACTTCCTCGACGTCACCTTGGATCTAGCCAGCGGCCGCTACCACCCATACCGCAAACTGAATGACGCACCCAGATACATACACACCAAGTCGAATCACCCGCCCAATATACTCCGGAATCTACCTGCAATGATCAATAGGCGGGCGTCCGACATCTCGTGCGACGAGGAGGCATTCACCAACGCGGCACCCGCATACAGAGCTGCGCTATCTGCCGGCGGATTTCCAGGGGCCATGGTGTTCGACGGCGGTGGGCCTACCAAGAAGAAGAACAAGCGGAGGAGAAACATAACATGGTACAACCCACCATACAGCAAATCTGTATCCACCAATATCGGTCAGAGGTTTTTCAAACTAGTCAGCAAACATTTCCCTGCCGCGTCGCCACTACACAAGATCTTCAACAGAAACACATTAAAGTTGAGCTACTCCTGCATGCCCAACATGTTCTACCTGATGAAGGGACATAACCAAAAGGTACGAACGCCTGGTGAAGAGAGATCTGCGGCAGGGTGCAACTGCCGAGCCAAGCCATCATGCCCTTTGCCAGGCTTTGGGCGGCGGATGCTTGGAGGGGGAAGTGGTGTACCAGGCCTCCGTCACAACCCCAAGTACCGGCGAGGAAAGGCAATACATCGGCCTGTGCGAGGCGCCCTTCAAGGTGCGCTATGGCAACCATCTAACCAGCATGCGGCATGAAAGGTACCGTACCAAGACCGAGCTATCCAAGCACACATGGGCGCTGGCTGGCCAAGGTGAGGAATACAGCATCACATGGGCAGTCATAGATCGGGCCAAGTCCTACAGCAACATATCCAAAAGGTGCTGCTTGTGTTTAGCAGAAAAGTTGCGCATCATCACCTTCAAGACGCCTCACACTCTGCTTAACAAGATGTCGGAGTTGGTATCAAAGTGCAGACACCAAAACAAGTTCTACCTCTCCACCTACTCTGCCGTGACATAGCCACCGCTATCACCACCACAATACACATCCTCTGAATACCCGCGGCTGTTGAATGTGGACACCACAGTGTGCTTCCACCGCCACACATCACACCCCCTGCCCAGTGCCCCCCCTGGCTTACCCTTGTCCTACATGTACCTGGTGGTTTCTCCGCCTCTGCACGCTCCATGCATAGTTCGCGCCTACTGCGCATGCCCATCCAGTGATGTAATTCTTATCACTCGCTCTCCCCATGCATATCCTGCATTGATAATTCACACCTCCTCTACATGCCCATGCGTATACCCCACAATAAGAACAAGCTATCCCGCGACAAAAGCATTAGTTGTCTGATGATTGCCTTAGCATTTAGTAGCTACGTGCATGAAACTCAGCGTTACAACGTATGTATATATAATTGGTGGAACCATTCCGCCACAAACGCCTAACAACAGTCGTCATGCCAAGCTTCCAGTCACTGTGGGTAGAGCTTACACTCTCAGATCGCACAGTCACCGTGGGATGCACGTATCGACCACCAAACTCTGATCCGAATTTATTCTGCCGCGAACTTGAATTGTGTCTCGATAAATGTAACACCACAGCGCCATTCATCCTCCTCGGCGACCTAAATTCCAAGAACAGCTCTTGGTTGGATTCTGATGTCACAGACAGAGCTGGTGACGCACTTAGCTATCTTATCGATGCATATGGTTTCCATCAGCATGTAAACTTTGCCACCCACATCTGCCGAGGCTATCTAAATTCGTGCCTCGATCTAGTCATCTCCAATCTCCCTCCGGAGGAGGTCACACTTTCTTCCAGAGCACCGTTTGGGTGTTCAGATCACGTAGCAATCCAGGGAACTATCTCCATGCAGCCACCAGCAGATGAGCGTGGCAGACGTAACCTGCCACCTTGGACCTGGAACTGGAATTCAGAGAACGTTGGCGCCCTGAGAGAAGCGCTAGCGTATACTCAACTCCTGCCACCCGACATTGACTTGCCGTCATATTCGCTGACCGAACTGTGGTCGCTCTGGCGTGACACTCTGCTTCGCACCGCACACCAGTTCTGCACTCAACTCCGGTTGACTAGATCATCTGCAGTGTCTCAAAAACGCCCATGGATGACGCCTGATCTGCTAAATAATATCCGTACAAAGCACAGGTTATACAGGAAATACCTCCGGACACGGACGGCTGAAGACTGGGACCAGTTCACAACTCAGCGAAACAAGACAACAACTCTTCTCCGCAGCGCCAAGTCCAAATTCGTTCATAAATCAGCCAATGCCGACAACCACTGTGACCAAACCCATACAAACCGCCCAAACCTCTACAAACTTATGAAGACCCTTCGAATTTCACCAAGAAAGGAAATGCCAGCTTTGAACCATGATGGCAGGAAGCTCACATCGAACTTAGAGCAGGCAGAAGCATTCAACAGCTTCTTCATTTCAGAAAGCAAGAAGTCCGTCTCAGTTGACAACGAGCCAGTCCCCGACATCCTTCTACCAACATCCGGCGAGAGAGAGCTTGCCCAAATCACCACCACACCCGCCGAGGTAGAACAGCTCCTAGGAGCCCTTAATCCTTGCAAAGCCCCTGGGTTTGACGACATCCCAACAAGACTCCTCAAGACCACGGCGCGTGAGCTGTCGCCGTCACTCTCCCGACTTTTCAATGAGTCATTTCGGAGAGGTGAACAACCACAGGACTGGCGTGATGCCACTGTGAGCCCACTATACAAGAAAGCCGAAAGGTCATTGGTAACAAACTACAGGCCTATATCACTTCTCAGCGTTATCAGTAAAGTGCAGGAGAGGATCGTCCACAAGCGACTCTACAAGCACGTCACACCCTTCCTCCCAGTGGATCAATCCGGTTTTCGTGCCAATGATAGCACCGAACTCCAGCTCGCCAGACTCGTGCACGAGGTTTCCGAGAGCCGAGATAAAGGTCTTTCCGTCACAGCTTGCTTTTTTGACCTCTCGAAGGCTTTCGACAGAGTCTGGCACGCCGGTCTCCTCAAGAAACTGCAACACCTCGGCCTGAAAGATACCGCCCTGCAATGGATGGTCAGCTACCTCACCCATCGCCGTCAACGTGTTCGTGTCGGCGACGCCTTCAGTGAGTGGCAAGCCATACCAGCAGGGGTGCCCCAAGGATCCGTTCTAGGCCCCCTGCTGTTCTTGATCTACACCATTGACCTGCCCTCTGCCTGCACCAACTCGAACACAAAGTGCAGCCAATTTGCAGATGACACGGCGCTCATCGCAACACACCAGAGCCGTTTGACATCGGAGTTGTCCCTGCAGTCAGCCGTTTCAGCTGCCGCAACCTGGCTGCGCAGATGGCACCTCCTCGTCAATGCCTCAAAGACCGTTACCTTGTCGTTCACACCAAACCACCAACTCAACATCACTCTTAATGGCACACCCCTAAAGCAAGTCAAAGAACACCGTCACCTTGGAATCATACTACAAAACAACCTCCAATGGAACTCACATGTCACGCACATAATAAACAAATCCAAAAAACTCCTTCACCAACTTCGTAAAACACGAGGCCAACTTAACACCCCCAGTCTGCTCGTAATCTACACCGCCTACATTCGCCCGGTTATGGAGTACGGCAGTCTCGTGTTATCCAACACCACCCGCACACAGAAGGACCAATTAGAACGCGTTCAGCGACGAGCAGCCCGTATCTGCCTGCGGATCCCCCTTTTTGCACCAGTCCATCACAGCTCACTTCTTCATCATCTCCAACTCCCCACATTAGTCTCCCGGCAACTCTTACGACAGGTTACTCTTGCCCACAACATCAAGTACATCCGCGCTCCCCTTCACCTGCAACAGCCTCACCTTGCACGACCAATCACAGAGCAGCCATATGCACTACGACACATGAGAACATACACATTGAGAACATCACACACATACCGACACACCAACTCACCCATCAACCTATCCCTTCACAATTTCAACCAACTACCCCCCGACCTGCGTGAAACAAATAGCAAGCATGCGTTTAAATCAATGGCGTCTAGCCTCATTCTATCATCCATATGCTCCTGTAGTAGCTCACACTGTACCCCATCGTGACCCCATCCCCCTGCAATGTGTTGATTTCCTTACTTGCTAGACTGATTTTATATGATTCTGGACTGATTTGAATCATATTATCTTCCTTATTGGCCATGGGCCATCGTGGAAATAAAGAATAATAATTCTTTTCGACCTTTGTGGTTACGCTCCTCCCTTGTGGTGTTGAGCACTGTTGAAACCTGGGTATACCCACTTATGTAGATACTCCACACTTATGTAGATAGATAGATAGATAGATAGATAGATATACATGACAGAGAGAGAGAGAGACGGGGGAGGGAAAGAGAATGGGAAAGGGAGACGGAAAGGGGAGGAGAGAGAAGAAGAAAAAACTT